CTTTTGAAACGCTTGTCTCAGCAAGCCACAAATTGCATTTCTTGCATTTTCTCCCGTTTTCATTGTCATCTCGTGCGAGAGACTTGCAGAAAGTAGTTCACCGAACATTTGCCCGTTTCACCTATCTCCGTCTCTATAAAATCAGCCCCCAACACACAAACAGAGGAAAACCCTAAAAATGGATCACAGAAAGCCAACTCTTTGTGTTCTCGACGCTTCCTCTTATGTTGGCTTATGGGTTACCAAAGGATTGATAAACAGAGGATACCCAGTTCATGCAGCCATTCAGAAAACGGGTAAGTCATTTATTCTTCTCTGTTCTTTTGCAATTCTTTTTCTTCACGAAGGCTTTCTAATTCTCTGCTTCTGTGTGAAATTATCGGTATGATCGAGCAGGAAATCCAGAGATTGAGAAGACTATTAGGGAGATGGGTAAAGTGGAGAATGGGCTGGTGGTGTTTCCTGTGGATATCATGGATTACCAGAGCATTCTTGTGGCTTTGGAAGGGTGCTCTGGTTTGTTCTGCTGTATGGACACCCCCCATGTGTATGATGTAAGTCCACAGAGGCAAAAAAAAGGCTGATGATGCTTAAAGTTGTCATGTTTTTTTCTCGGGAATTTGTGGGTTATTGTTGCTTTTGTGTTTTGTGAAGGAAAAAATGGTGGATTTGGAGGTGAGAGGGACAATTAATGTTGTGGAGGCTTGTGCTCGGACAGATACTGTTGATAAGATAGTCTTCACCTCCTCCTTGACTGCTGCCGTATGGAGAGAGAATATTCTTTCTGAGAAGGATGTGGATGAAAGATGTTGGAGTGATAAAGAATTTTGCAGAAAAATGAAGGTTGAAAGGAATTTTTACACCTCTGTTATCTTTTTGAGTTATTAATTTTGGATTTCTTCATCGGGCTATGTTGCATTCATTTTTCTTGTCAATGAATTTGATTACAAAACAAGCTCTCTTATCTTCTCTCAGTTGTGGTATCCTCTAGCAAAGACACTCTCTGAACAAGCCGCCTGGGCTCTAGCAATGGACCGTAGGCTGAACATGGTGTCCATTAACGCAGGACTTGTTCTTGGACCCGCTGTTGCAGAAGAAAATTCAGTGTCAACAATCTCATATCTTAAAGGTAGGAGGAGAAACTTCTTTAAAAACTGTTCCACATTTGTGGGAGTACTTGTTTTGTTTTGCTTAGCTGAAAATTTGGAGGCAACAGGAGCCGCTGAGATGTATGAAAATGGGGTTCTGGCAGTGGTGGATGTGAAGTTTTTGGTGGATGTCCATATCCGAGCAATGGAAGATTCCTCGACGGGTGGTCGGTACTTTTGCTTCGATCAGATAGTGAATAGTGAGGATGAAACTGTTAAACTCGCGAATACATTGAGGCCATTGATATCCATTCCACCGAGGTAAAAGAATTTGGGTTTTTTTAAACAACAAACAGAGCAATAACATTGGAAACTGAATCTGTGTTAGTTTATTGGTGAGAGCAGATGCGAAGGGCAAGGGAGGGAAGGTTTTGCTGAGAGGCTGAGAAGCAGGAGATTGCACAAACTGATAGAGGGCGCAGCTTCTTGATAACTTTTGAATGTAAAACCTTTTGGTTTTCTTGTATGCATCTCTCGCTTCCCTCTCTCTCTTCTACCTCTCATCTTCTTCTTCTACTTCTTTCTCCGATGTAAAACCTTTTTGATTTCACGTATTCAGAGCTACGGAGAGAGGGAGAGAGAAAGAGAGAGAGAGAGAGAGAGAGAGAGTAGCCCGCTGAAATCCAAAATGCTTTCCTTGTTTTGGAAATGTTTTGTTTCGTTTAATGGGCCTTGGGCTCACGAATCAATTTTGTTGAAACCCTAAGCCCATTATCCAGTCCATTAACAGCGATTACAGGTGGGCTTAGTCTCGTCGGGTTTTGGGGGAAATGCCAGGGCAATTCTCAAGGTGCGACCATTCTCGTTTTGACATTTGAGAATTTTCCCGTCTCATTGCTTCGATGGATCTTTATTTTGTTGCTGAGAAGACGAAAAAATGAATCGCGATTAGATATTGTTGCTACATTGTGAACAATTAAATCCGGACGCCATCCGAAGGAAATCATTTGATATCGATCCAAATGTATCTGGCTCCAAATTTGTTCAACTACCAACACTGGTAAACATGTGATTATTGAAGTTACTTTCTTAATTGTTGATCTTTTAGCTTTTATGCAGGATTTTCCAGATTTTGTATTACTCTCGGTATCACTTTTTAGCATAAGCTTGAAAACTTGAATTTGAAAGCGGTAGAGCTGAATTCAGAAGGTAAAATCTTCAAGACAGCAATCTGAGGCACCTCACGCCGTCTTCTTCTTTTTGTTCTTCCTCTTCTCTACGTACTTATACAGGTCAGGCTTGCAGAATACTTGTCTTTTACTGCTAAATTTTTTCCGTCCAAATGTTTATCGAAACAACAAAATAACAGTTGTTTACAGTGAGTCTCAATTATTGCAAGTTTTCTTTAACTATTTCTAAAATTGTGTACTTTAATAATTTATTGATCTTTTCTATCAATCTTTTATCTTTATCCTTTTGAGGCTTACTTTATTAGTAAGATCAGTAGTGATATTTCAATGAACAGATCTGTTTGTCCCATCAACGATATCTTGTCTTCAACTTGTCCAGCAGGGTCGGTTACTGCTCATATTTGGAAGCTCTACTATCACAAGCTTTGTGCAAAATATGTCAGTTATCGTTGGAAAGTTCTGGTACACACGTCTTGTGATTGTACTGTTTGTATCTTTTATTTATTTGCATGCCAGTTCCATCCGTCTTCCAAGCTAGACTCATTATCTCTTTTGATCTACTAGACACATGATCTATAAGACTTGTCAGTCGTGGATGTAATGTAATGTTTGTGATATGTTTTTCTTGTTATTTGGTACAAGTACAAATATTTTTATGCAATTCTCAGTAATACTCAAATACTACGTATGAAAGCTAAAGTATATTTAGAGATTTGAAGCAAGTTAACGCATACGGGACAGGAAATAACTCTAATGCTTGAGACTTTCAGAATTTATACCAATGTCCCTAGATATGTTTGTAATATCTTTGTAATGGAACAAATAGATTTGTATGATGATGGGATGTGCACCTATATTTGTGTTGTTCTCACGCATTGGTCCTGGCTCAACCAGCCAACCACTGAGGCGTCTTACTTATTTTACAGGGTTCGGATTGATCTTGGTTGATGCATTTTTGTTAAGGATATTTAGTAATAAATTATAGTTTACCATATATATTATATTTGATATTTTATTATAAGTCAAATATCTAATATTTACCTTATTATCATAGGTATCTTTCCATTTATTACTATTTCCATATTCTTGTAATTTATTTGATTATAAATAAGATAACTTTCACAAGATAACTTTCACACCATTTAGGTGTGGTGGATTAATTAAACATTCACATGGTATCAGAGCCCTTTCGGTTTAACAACCATGATCCTTTCTTTTCAATGGCTTTTGAATCCTCTAATCTTTTTCTCTACCACCCCTGCTGGCTTTGACGCCGCAGGGGCAGTCTTCATGGCTGCCGTAGTTGAAGCCGATTGATTACTCTTTGGCTCCACTCTATTGACCTCCAAATCACCTTTCGTCATACTCTGTACATACAACCTCACCTTTTCCAACCAAATCGGTTTTCCCCTTGCCAATATAGTCTCTCTCATTTTCTTCCCAATCAACCTTCATCCTTCACATAAACCCTAACCTAAACCTATCAACCTTTTGCAGAACTGGCCTATTCGCCAACCAAGTTGTCGTCGCCCTTCCTGCCAAAATTGGCTTCTTCGCCCGATGAGGCGACTCTTCCGACTGCCCTTCTCGCCAAAATTGGCTCATTCGCCCAATGTGGCGACTTTTCCAGCTTCAACATTGTCTTTGTCCCTTGCTCTAGGTTTCCCCTTCTACTTCTTGGGGTTAGAAATATTCTTACCAGAGCCAAGGCAGCATCGTCGCTAAGTGACAATCCCTCTTCATGGGTTAGACATATTCTCGCCGAAGCCAAGGCAGCATCGCTGCTGAGCGGCGATCCCTCTACAATTTTTGATGGCCAAGAACCGGGTTGTTAGCATCTTCATGAAAAGTGTTTCTCAACCTCTTTAAATTTTTCAGATTCAAGCTTCACATTCGTTTAAAATCCGATGCTTAGCTTGCGGTAGGGTGTTAAAGATATTTAGTAATAAATTATAGTTTACCATATATATTATATTTGATATTTTATTATAAGGCAAATATTAGATATTTGCCTTATTATCATAGGTATCTTTCCATTTATTACTATTTCCATATCCGTGTAATTTATTTGATTATAAATAAGATAACTTTTGGTGTGGTTGATTAATCAAACATTCACAATTTCTCAGGCCTCTTCGGTCAGTTATGAGTTAATCCATAACATTGGCCCCACTGATGACCCGACCTATGTGGTGGTCAGGTCGATGTGTCCGCTGATTTGGATGACATCTCGGCACGCATGCGGTGGCAATGTGGATCACTTCCCCCTCTGCTCCTCTGTTGGCCGGTCGATGGGGGTCGATTCTAGATTTAATAGTCACAACTCATGGTTTGCTCCTCAATTTGTCATCTGATGTGGAGTCAATCACTATGAGGCAATCACCTTTGTTGATCTAGTGGACTAAAGGTGCCAACTAATGATCTTTGCAACCTTTAGATAGTGCTAATGGGATGCTGTCAGCCCACACGCTTGGGGATCCCATTCTCCGGCACGTGAGGTTTGGCGGGGACAACGGTCACATGACGTGACCTTGCCCCTTCTAGACCTCCGATTGTCAGACACTCGAATGAGTCAACAAAGCGACCAAGGCAAGTGGAGGCATCAAAGTGGAATGCCACAACCGCTGCTAAGGTCGAAGTTTAAATCATTCTTTCAAATGGTTTTCGCTCTGCCCTGTTTCTCTAAGCCTCTCCTCCCTCTATACTGTTATAGAATACACCATTTCAAGAAGACCAAGCTGGTATCATATATTTACATGTCCAACCCAGAATATCCACAGAAAAGAAAGAAAATAAGGTACATCAAGATTGTGAAACCAACATTAAAACCCATCCTTTCAGCTTGATGATCATTGATTTTGGCTTTACAAAGAATTTTAAAGCAATGAATTATAGTCTTCCTGTTTCTCTGATTCATTTACTTTCTCTACTATCTTGGACCGGAGAGTTCCATGGCATAGGAGTCCAAAGATCGCTCATCATCATCATCGTCCATTGTAAAACTCAACATGCTTGAATGTTCTCGATCGTTGCCATTATTCTTCAAAGCATATGTGGGGTTGTATGTACTTTTGCAGCTGTTCCGTGAATGAAAGAGGTTGACATTGAAGTCATTATGAGTGTGGGATGCAGCCCATTTCTGAACAAGGCCATCCCCTTCAAGCATTCGGACCACCTCCGACATCTTAGGACGGTGAGCAGGTAAATACTGAGTGCAAAGAAGAGCCACTTGCAACATTTCCCCAACCTCAATCTGATCATAGTTGTTCCCTAGCTCTCTGTCCACAAGCAATTCCACTTTCTTTTCCTGTTGTATCTTTTTCACCTGCCACAGGAGTTTTCGCTATCAGCCCCATCCGTGTGGGCATCATCAAATCAATATAGCTAAATTAAATATCTCAATGAAAATTTTTCCATGCTCCATTACCAAACTCATTACAGCATCAAAAAGCAGCACCTGTAGATGTTAGCTTCAATCATTGATAAAGTCAAATTAGCTAAGATACCGCTTGAGACTTACCCACTCAAGCATGACGCCTTTTTGATTAATTGTTTTCCCAAATTCAAAAGTTCTCATTCCAGTTATCAGCTCTATCAAAAGAATGCCAAACCCAAACACATCAGTCTTCTCAGAAGATTGGCCGGTTGAAAGATACTCTGGAGCAATGTGCCCAACAGTGCCACGAACAGCAGTGGTCACATGAGAGTCAGCATGGTCAAGAAGCTTTGCAAGTCCAAAATCACCAACTACAGCTTCACAGAAGTCATCCAGAAGCACATTCGCAGCCTTCACATCTCTATGGATTATCTTAGGATCACATTGCTCATGGAGGTACAGCAGACCCCTTGCAGAACCAATTGCTATTCTCTTCCTTGTATTCCAGTCCAATGCTGGCTTTCCTGTATTATTCAAATGTGCATGTTACTGTTTTTCCAAAATACGCATCTTTCTGAGTTAAGGACATAACACATTTTCCTGGTTTACTAAGAACACAGTATCTTGAGAAGGTGATATCTGAACAACTTGATAGTTCCTTTTTATATTATATTTAGGAAGGAGAGAAAAGGAGAAAGTTGACCCAAAAAGTGGTCCTGAAATTTTCTCGATAAGGATGTTAAAAAGTGGGAGAAAATGATGAACTAGTTTGGTTCAACAAAAGAGTCAACCTTGTTCTAACTTCCAAGGATGGTTTCGACCTGCAATGATTCAGATTTTTTAGTGACCCACTCATAAATTGTGGGGTCCATCAAGCCCAAACTTCATAGAATACTATGCCAGAAAATGCAGCATACTTCACAAGCGCAATTTAGTCTTCGTTTTCTTTTCTTTTTTTAAACCATATATTGACAGTTAAAAGTAGTCGCTGCAAAGTAATCAGAGACCAACCTCTGAGCCTGGAAGCTACACTGCCATTTGACATGTATGGGTACACTAAGAGCCTCTCGTGAGAAGTGGCACAATAACCAATTAGCCGAAGCAAATTGCGATGAACTGCCAGGCTAATCATCTCCAACTCTGTGCGGAACTGAGACTCTCCAGTGGTACCCGTAACATCTTTTAGCCGTTTCACTGCCACCATACTCCCATCTCCTAGCTTTCCCTTGTACACATTACCAAATCCTCCAGCCCCAAGTATATTTTTGGAACTGAAATGCCCTGTTGCTAATTGGAGCTCTTTGAAACTGAAGTTCCTCAGGTTGCCTAAGCGCACAAGCCCAACTTCTTGATTGTCTACTACAAGATTCAAGTTTTATTTCAATCAAGGGTCTGTTTATAGAAGACTAATAAAGTATATAAAATGTAGCCTTGATAACACTGACCATTGATGTCTAGAATGGTCTTGGCCTTGTGATTCTTTCTGCGCCAAAGAATCACAAATGCTAGGAGTATCAGAAAAGCACAGCTGAGGCTGACCCCAAGTGCCACTGCTATTCTTTTGGACCTGAGTCTTCCTAATATCCATGAGTTAAGAGAGCATAAAAGTCACGTCATAAGTCACACCCACCAGGAAAATAAGTGTTTGGTTTTGAAAGGGAGAAAAAGTAGCAATGGTTACCAGGGGAGGATTCTAGAGAGAGAGAAAGAGCAACGGCATTGGCTGAGCCAGAGCAACCCTCAGTAGGGTTACTTCCACAAATCATCGGATTTCCCACCACACTGGAGAATTAACAGAACCCAAAACCCAAATTAAACCAAATCATTCAACAAAGTGTTTGAGGGGTAGAGAAAGAGAGGCGTGGCTGTGAGTCATACTTGAATGTTCTGGCCGGAAACACAGGCACTGGTCCACTAAGATTGTTAAAAGACAAATCCCTGCAAGATCCAAACTAATAACTCAAACAGAACCCCAAATATAAATATTGAAATCAAATGCTTAATCTTGAGAAAAGTTGTGAAGAGAAGGCAGGCTTCTTCTAGTCAAGACAAAAAAGACAGGCGAAAGAAAACAAACAAAAAAAAAAATGAATACTCACAAGAAAGCAAGCTGGGGGATTTTGGCCAAAGACACGGGAAAAGGCCCGGACAAGCTATTATTGTTCACCCTCCTACTCATTACAAGACAAAGTAACAAAGTGCAACTTATTATCATAAATAACTGAATGGAGCAATCAGACAGACAAACAGCAACTTATGCTTCAAATACATGGTTTCTAAGAAATTTTGAAAATCAAAGAGCACCATTAACTTCTAAAAAGTCCACCATCAAAAATTTAAATTTCTGTAGAGAGTGAAAATTATGATATTTTTTCCTCCTTGGTCCTCCTCCATGTTCTAGGAAACCGAACAAAGAATACAGGGGCGGAAAATTTAAATACTTACAGGTAGCGTAGACCGTTCAGCTGACCAAAGGATGCTGGTATAGGGCCAGAGAAGTGATTTTCTGAGAGATCTAATGTTTGAAGCAATGGGAGAGCTCCAAGTTCAATGGGAATTTGACCGGAAATGTTATTGTTCTGCAGCAACCTTCAAATTTGGATAAGAAATAAAACAGTCAGAAAACTAAGTATATCCACGGGGAGCTATGTTCTTGGAGTAGTTACTATAGTTCAGTTAACCTGATTTGTCTCTGTCGTGAAAACATTGTAGATGAGTATAGATACAGAAAAAACAGAACTCTTAATTTTGATCTTCTATTAAACAGAGCAAAGCAAAATCTCACATCCAACCAAAACAAATTCAAAACAAGACTTCATTGGGTTTCAACTATCCAAAACAAAAGGGATTAAAAACACTCAGATCTCTTACACTTGGCGAAGATTTGTTAGGTTCCCAATCGCCCCAGACAAAGTTCCGGAAAGAGACTGGCTCGGAGCTCCTCTGTCAAAACCCAGAAGTTGAACGCTTAAGTTCATTTTCCCCACTCTGGGAAATCAAGTCTTCAGACCTGAACATTTATCAAACTGAAAAACAAAAAAAGAAACAAAAACTCACAGTCCTACAACGAGGTTATCAGGGGAGCATGTGATCATTGCCCAACTGCAAGGGTCCACTGAGTCTTCATCCCAATTGCTGAGCACAGCGTGCGGATCATTCAATGCTGCCTTCACATGAATCAGAGCTTCCACTGCACAAAAGGAATAAACCCCAATGGACAGACATATATTAGGAAACTTTCAGAAACGGCAACACACACGAAATTGGAAGGTGGAAAGTTGGTACTCCAACTGAAGTTTCACCTTCAGGATTTCGAGGTTCATAGGAGAGGCAAAGCAAAGCAGAAGAGAAAATGATCAAACAGAAGAGTTTAGGAGCCATAGCTGTGAAGAAATGCAGAGGAAAGAAAAAGAAGAAGACCATATGTTGGTGGCTTGTCCCTCAAGAACACGAAAACGCGAAAGAAAAAAAAGGCAGTTCTAATACGTCCACTCTCTTTGCCTCTGTCTCTCTCAGTCGCTCTTTTTCATTTCTTTCACGGTTCTCCTTTTCAGTCACCCACTGCACACCCCACAACCCATAATACTCACTCCTCTTACCGAAAGCTCAAAAAAATACAATAAAGACAGAGAGAAACCAAGAGCGAGAAAGGGGTGCGTATCAGCTGGGAGACGCGAGTTGTCAGTGCAGAAATTGAGAGGGACGTTAAGAGACTGGACCGATGTAGCCTGACCGCGCCTGAGCTCGAGGCCGGACGAACATGGGTGGATGGGGCTGAGCGTGGCGTACAAATTCAATGCTATCTTGCTTGTTTCAGCCTAATGCACACGCTGTGGGTGAACCGCCGATTCTATTCACAACCCAACACCCAAAAATGGCACCCGACTTGCTCCTCTCCCATTTTGAAAGAATTTACTGTTTCAACCTACTGTTTATAATGCATGCACCTCTAAATAGTTTTTACTTTTTACTACAACTTTTATGCCTTTTTTTAACCCTTTCCCACTGTAACTCCCCTCCAACTAATTACTTCCCACATTTTTTTTAATTATATTTAATTTAAGTTAGATTTTAAAAGAAGATACTTAGAGTGTGTTTAAAATCTTGAGAAAGATAAATAATAATAATAATGAAAAGCTGTTTTAAAATTTGAATAATCATAATGAGTTTGAAAATTTGTAAAAAATAAGTTAAAGTACTTTACTAATTTTGTTTTAAAAGCGTTTAATTTAAAAAACACATTTACAGAAAAAGCAGGCTAAGCAGTTATTTGTTACACAATCCTTAAAAATATACTCTATGTTTCATAACTGAGATTATAATTAAAAATCAAAATTTGAAATATTTATTAAGCATTGGATTTTGATATATAGAATATTTCCTTGTCGCTTTACTCTGTTTACCATCCATGGCCTCGTCCATCAATGGAGGTGCTGACGCAGTCAACTCTCCCACCCCCTTTTTATAATTATTTGTTTTTAGAATGTATGCAATTTATTTTATAGAGAAAAATAAAAACAAATTTCATCAAATATATTAAATTAGTGATGTTTTAAGCCTCCTAATCAATGGAGCGGCGTGATTATATGCATTCGGGCATGTGGGTTTGATTGTTGTTGAAACGATTTTATTATTATTTGACTTCCATACTTCCTACCCAATTCCCTAAATTAATTAATTTTTACCCTCCTCCGTAATCTTCATTAATTCACTTTTTAGTCTAATTAATTTTACATTTTTTAATCATTATATAAAGACTAATCCACCCTCCACATCCATCAATAAATACGGTCTGTTTTAGTTTTACATCACAAGTTTTCATACCTTTATTATAAGTAAAATTTTGTTTTCCTCTCTTGCTAATTTGGTATCTCACAATCCACCTCCTTTGAGCTCATTGTTCTCGTTGACACACTGTTCGTTGTTTATCTGTTACGTATCGCCATTAACTTTCACTGTTTTGTGAGATCTCACATTGATTTAAGTGAAGAACGAAACATTAGTTTCACCATTATTATTATTCAATTAAAAAGTAAATGAAATTGAAAGATTAAATAATAATTTAATGGGAACCAAAGCTGCAAGGAACTGCAAACCCTTTGAAGAATTATTTATATATGTTCATTGAAAGATGAAAGCAAGCATGTTGGGAGCTACGGTTTTCCAAAACAATGAAAAAAATAATAAAAAGAAATAAAGCAAATAATTACAATGCAAAAGCAGAGAATATAATGATATTTAAAGAAGAAGAAACAGCAGAACTTAGAAACACTTTGTAATTACCACCAAAAGGAGGGTGCAATCAGCAAAATTCTCCAAATTTTAAACATATTTATGGGATACCCCTTCCTCTCCACCACACACTTCAGAATCACCTGCCTTTAATCATTTCAGTTCTTGACCAAACACCATGGTTTCCCTATTATTTATTTATGTTATACTCTCTTCCTATTTTTAATTTACTTATAAACGTGTGATATTCCTCTTAATTTATCAATGTGGGACTGTCGTCTCTCTTCTACGGTTTTTTTTCTTATTTTTTATTATGTATTATGTTATGGAAACAACTAGATAATGCTCGATTGTTGTGACCGGTTCAAATAGTGCAATCGAACAAGCAAATAAGTGATATTTTATGTAATGCTTTCGAAGTTATGAAACCTTCAATCATCCGTATCGAATATAATCGTTTGTATGGATGAAAAATGAATTGAAATGAAAAAAAAAAAGGAATCGATACTAAAAGCAAATTAAAAAGGATATATACTAACAGCAGCTATGTTAGTATATATTTATGGCATAAAGTATGGAAACACTATTATATTGTTTTAAAATTACAACTAATAATTTAAATTTAAACAGTAAAGAATATAAGTTAGCTTAAGAATAATGGAGAACTGACAACACTACGTTTTATGGAAAGAAGTGGGAAGTAATACCGCTTTCCTTAAGCAACATGGAAGAACAAAGCATGTCCTCTTCCACCGCATTCTACCCAATCTTCGTCTTCACGGATTAACTCGTTGATCGAATATTTCAATTTAAGAAGATTTGAATAAATCTGAAGAAAAACAATTATGTCAAACTTAAATGATTCTAAACATATAAAGTACATAAATTAAAGAGAAGCATAAGGAGAAGAGGGGATTGTAACATCAAAGGGTCATATATCCCATCTTCTCCCACTCCAATTGACTCCAATTGGGGAAGTGAGCAGTCTGTGTCTGTCAACGACACTCTGCTCGGTCTGCTGCTGCAACTCCATAATGCAACATTTCTTCTGAATTAACCAACTGCCTTTCTCACAAACCATTCTATAGACAGTATTGACATTGCTATTGCTATTGCATGCACACTCCAACACCAACGCTCCATTGTAATGAAACCCGCTTTGCTTATTCTGCCTTTCGGGCTCTCATAATGTCAACACCTGCATCATCACACCAACCCCATAAAACTCCTCTTCTTTCACAATTTTGGAAGTCGCACCATCCTTTATTCTATATGCTCCTAAAAGATTCGACCCATTAAAACTCGTCTTCTTTTGCAAATTTGGAATGTCATAACACCAACGCCACAACCATTATTTCTATTTGTGTTTGTGAAAGATTAGAGGGTATTTGATTTAGGGGAGCAAAATCATAAGTAAATGGATATGTACTATGACTACATCTTCTAGTTAGGAAGTCAGGGAGACGTTAACTTTGATACCATTTGTTAAACATTATGATATAATATTATCTACTTTTATTTTTAATTTTCTGAAATAGTGTCTCTCTCTTTTTGTGACCTTTTTTTTTCTCTCACTTTTTCTTTGCTTCTTCTTATTTGCTTATTTTTCCTTTTCTTTTTTTCCATACACAAAGATAGAGATAAAAGTTCAAAGAGAAAAGTGAGGCAGCCGTGCCTTGCACTTTCTCAGCTTTTGGGCCCCGCTCTATGTGCCCATTACTTTTCGGCATAGCTTTAATAATTATAATATTATTTGATGCGTTCCATATGTGATAGCCCAATATCCCTTGGTGGATAAATTAGTACTTAAAAGGGCTTTGCTTTCACCTTCTTGGGCTTTTAGGCCCATAATAGCCATCATTATTACTTTTTGAATCTTCATTAATTCAGCCCATCTCACCCAAAATGAGTGGCCCATATTCTTCACGGTTTCTGAAGTCAAGGCCCAAAAACAAAATATTTCCAAAAACTTCCCTACAACCTTTTTTTCTTCTTCATCATCTCTCTCTCTCTCTCTTTATTTTTAGAATTGGGTTGGATATTGAAATATTTTCTAAGCAAAATGAATTTATGAATACATGATAAAAAAAAAACAAATACAATTTTTAAAAAACTAAATAGGTAATGAATTTATCTCACTCGTGTTAATTAATCTAAATTTTGTCTCGCTATCATTCATTATTATCCAACTTAGGTCTAAACTAACAATAATACTACAAAGTAAAAACTAATAAAACATGAGATTAAATTAAAAAAAAATAAAAACCAATATTATAGACTAAAACCCTTTACTAGGAAAATCAGAAAATTGGAAGAATTTTAGGAAAGTAAAAGAAAAAAGAAAATGAAGCTGACAACCCCACCAAAGCAATGGAAACCCCAATTCTTCCAAAAAAGAAAAAAGAAAAAAGAAAATTCCGAAAAAGTCCCCCATGAGAGCGTCGCAGGTGACACACATCTGATAAGACCCCTCCATGGACAAGCTCAGTGGCTTCAAATTTACAATAATTAGGAAGAAATTTACTCAAAAACATACATTCTTACCCATTATCGAGCTTCAAAAATTATGTTCATTGTTTCTGCACAATTCCAATATGAATTGTCAAATCTCGCACTTCTCGAGGAAAATCATTAGTTTATGAAGCAGACACACAGACATAGAAAGAAAAAGAATGCAAATTTCTGACATGATGTTCTTACTTTTCAAATGAAACACATGGAAGAAGAGCCTGCGTAAGTAAGGCACCTTTAACTTGATGCTTCCCCCTCAAAGGGTTTGCTTCAAAAGATGATGATATACTAAAGCAACAAGCTAATTGGAAGCGCTACAAAGACAGGAGAAGAAACAAGAGAATCCCAAATCAGCCCTTGAACATATTTCATGGGAAAATTTACAGATGCATTCCTTGTATCAACATAACAAATAATGTATTTTTTTAGTGAAAAAGAGAGGAATTAATAAAAACCAGAGATTGAGCCGTCTCCGCCAATATCACCACTGCAAATGATCTGATCTTCAACGAAGGACAAAAAACCAATACAACACCAAATTTCTACCTTCACTGAACGCCATTACCTTCTTCATTCCCATTTCTTTTGGAACCAAAACAGGCAAATCTTCGGCCCTCCTATCTACGCCACAGCCGCAGCCGCTACCTTCAGCTCCGCCGAGACCCAGAAAATAAACTGCAGAGACACACATTTGAGGCAGAGGCGAAACCGGGTCTTGATGAAAATGGAAAAAGGGGCCAACTTTATGGGTGTGTGGGTTCATACTGGACAAAAAGAAGGAAGGAAAAAAGAAAACAAAACACGAAAGAATCTAAACCTAACAAGAGAGAAATTAGGAAAACGGGAACATGGGTGTTGGCCGGATTTGTATCTTCTAAATGCCCCCTTTTAACGAGGGGGATTTTAGTGTTTCCACCATAGAAAAGAGAAAGAAATTAAGGAAAGAATCGAAGGAAGCAAAGCCGGATGGGGTAAAGATTGGGTTAGCTTATGGTGGCGGATGAGAGTTTATGAGGTCTCAGAGTTATTTCTGTCTGTCCAAACATAACGAAGCCAAGTAACTCTGTCTGAACACAAGGGAAAGTGTTGTCTCTGTAAAAAAAGTGTACGGCTTCAACAATGGGTAAATGAGTGGTAATGCCAATGGCAAGGC